TTGCTCTTTTGCCCCAATCAGTGTAACATCATTCATGCAGTGGGTCAATGTGATGTTCTGTGGGATGTCCAGATGGTCTAAATCTTTTCTGAATACATCATGACGTAGATTGGGAGAGCTGTTGGAGCCTGGGGGAAACTAAATGTTGTTCAGTTCATGCGAATGCTGGTTCTAGATCCTCTTTTCTGATTGGGATAAAGAAGAATTCATTGGCCATGTGCCATGAACAGTACTTGCAGTCATATTTATATGTTCTAGCAATGAGATCACATCTCATTGAGCTGACAATAATCTAGTCATTCTCCAGGATCCATCTGTTTCTGTAGGGGCCACGTTGGTGAGTTAAACAGACGTATGATAGAGATCACTGTCCCTGCATCCTTGAGATCCTTAAAGGTGGTGTTGATTTCTATCTTCCCTCCAAAATTGGATATCATCTTTTTATTTATGATCTTGTCTGGGAGTTAGGGGACAGAAGAGAGAGGCACAATTTCACAGGCTTCAATATGACCTTTCTCACTGTGGTAGCTGTTATCACATAAACCAATGACCCCATGTGGGGCCTTTTCCAACTGCAAAATATATACATCCCACTTACACATTCAGGGACTGGGGCAGTGACCACCAGGTGGGGCCATGGACCCAGTGGATCCACTTTAAGATGGACTTCAGCCAGGACTCCATTTTGACCTGGCTTATATCCCATCACTCTACTGGGGGTCCATGGTGACATTTCAGGTCTCTGAACATCAGTATCATTTCAGATCCTGTGTCCTGCCGGACGTTCCTCTCCCTGCTCATCCAACCTCTGCTTATAGTCTACTTGATGCCTGCTGACTGGTCCCAATGGCAATGCCGCATGTTTTAGGTTTTAATTATGGCAGTATCCCATTTCCATGCACCAATAATGATTTAATAATTTCTCACAATTCTGTGGATTAACTAGATGGCCGATCTTCTGGTCATGTCTGTTGTGCTGCATTCAAATTGTGTTTGCATGGAGGCTTGGATGTTGGGGTGGTTTCGTGTGGTTTCAGGGCCTCTTTTCCCATGTGGGCTCACATCCTCAAGAATGTCAGTCCAGGCTCTTACATGCAGCTGGATTTTAAGAGGGCCAGCGAGGGAACTGCAAGACCTCTTAGAGCCTAAGCTCTGGAACTTACACAGTGGCATATTCTATTGGTCAAAGCAGGTGACAAGGCAAATCCAGTTTCAAATGGTGAGTGGAGTAATAGCAATGCCTTTCAAGTGGGAGGAGCTTAATAAACACAATTCAAAAGAGCATGGAAGGAGGTTGACTCATTGGGGACCATTATTTAAGGATCTACCATACTATGTTCAGTTTAAGATGCCTTTTAAACACCTAAGTAGAGACGTCAAGTAGACACTTGGCTGTAAGTACCTTGATCCCAGAGTGGGGTTCAAGCCAAGGAAGTAAATTTGGGAGTCATCAATATGTAGACATGATGCCTATGTGAATCTTCCTGCCCTCCAGGTTCCTGGTTCCTGCATAAGTCTGGACCGTGGTTGAGGCAGGGTGCTTGCAGAGTGAGGCCCTCTGCAGCCAGAGCTGGGTGGAGGTTGGGGGAAGAGGAACATTCTGTTCTTACGGTGGTTCCAGATCCACTTCCCACTTGGGCATAGAGCATTCCACTAGCCTCTCCCTCCCTCTCCCATCTCCATAGAGCCACAGTCTTAGGGATGAGGTTAGGACAACTGGCCTGCATGTGGTGGACATAGGACAGTAAACCATTCCACTGCCTTGTTTTGCCACCTAAAGAAAGGAACCCAGAAAAATGGGGATCGAGGCACATTGCCCTATTTCATTTTCTTTTTGTTGTGTTGCATTTGCTGCTGGGCAGGAAAGCTTTGCAAAAGCAACCAGATTCCCATTGCTACCAGTTCTAACCATTTTCTCTCATTCTTCATCTACAGCCCAAACTGAGCATCACCCCAGACTGTCTGATAATACTTTGTTACCCAAACCTGATCACCCCTATTTTACATTTTTCTGTGTTTCTTGGAAGGAAGGCGCCATTTGCTGTCATGGTTTTAATATCTGGAAGAAGGAAAAGCAAGAGTGAGTTTGAGTCTAGTATTTCTGAAAGAAAGGGGTGACTTAAGAACTCTTCCAGACCAGCAGGAAAGACAGGAGAGATAACCCCAGCCTGTCCAAAGAAAGAAGCAGAGAGGAGGAGGGATTAGGAGTCAGAGACTGATGCAGATCAAGAGTTCCAGCCTTTACAACAGTGAAAACTGCCTATGTCCCTCTTTTTTGTAGCTGCACCAAATTCTACGCTCCTGATAACTCAGGAATAGTTGGGAGTCTGTATTCCCCAGTAGCTCCCCAACCTTAACACAGCTGTCCCACACTTGTGAATTCTCCGAGATCCTAAATTCAAACTGGTCCTGCTAATTTTTGCATTCTCCCCATGCCTGCTTCCAAGGAAGCCCAGGGTTGGGTTGGGGTTGGGGTAAGGCATGTACAGGAGTTTCTGGCTCCATCTCTCTTTTCCTGACTGAGCTGGGTTGCACTAATTGACCTCGAGGGTCTCTGCTGTGCTAAATTGGGTGTTTGTTAGATCTCGTAAGGCTTGTAATTAGTGCAGAGAATCTAGGTCAGAGGCAACTGGTTGGGGTGATGGTCTCAAGGGGCATGAATACAGGCAGGGAATAGCAAACAGGTTTCCCATTCCCCATCCTGTGGGTGGGGTGAGCCAGGGACAGGGAATGGTGGGACTGGGGTCATATGCTCAGACAAATAGAAGGTCACGTGCAGAAAGGCGCTCAAACGTGTGCGTGTGTGGGTGTGTGCCTGTGTGTGTGTGGTGTGTTCCCTCCTGTATTTACTCGGGTTTCTTTGCAACCTCTTCTCCATATATGGTGTGGCTCTAGAGCGAGCTGGGGATTGGCTGCTGTTGTTGGGAGACTGGGAGGTAGGAAGAAAGCAGAGAAAGAAATGAACCAGGCAAGGGAAAGGGGTAAGAAGGGGGAGGCGGCTGCAGCTGAGACTGGAGGGTGCAGAATGGGGCTGGGTCCGCTTCCTGTGAGGTTTAGAAAGGGGAGAGGGTCTTTGAGACTTTTTTGGGGAATGAGGTAAAACTCACTGTTGGCAGAGGGGTTGGGAGAGAGGGCAAGAGCTATTTCCCTGGGGTCAGAGCACAGCATAGCTCGTGAAGGCTGGAGCAGGAGTTAGAAAAACTGGTGGGTTCCCCCTCCCACCTTTTCTTTTCACCCTAAACAATCCATAGCTATGCTGTGGAAACTGGGAAGTAGCATGCAAATTAACTCATCAACTTTCCTGGTCAACACCGCAGACAGTCTTCCTGATGGAGCAAGACCAGGATGGTTCCCCAAACCTGCATCTGTTCCCAACTACCTACTTAACAATTTAATGAGGAAGAACCAGAAAAGTTGAGGGAAATGTCGCTGAAATATGAAATGGCATTTAGTTCTTTACCTGACTTTACCCCTCACCCTGTTTGAACTGTGTCCTGGATTTCCTCATCTCCCCACCCTAGGGCCTCCCAAAAGATTTTCCCTTTTCCAGTTCATTTGTGTAAGAATAGAATATAGCAAAGTTGTTGGGAGAGGGGGGAAGAAAGAATAAATATCCTGAAAAATGTCTACCGGCAACTGTGTAGTAAGCAAGTTGCCCCACTCCATCTACCCATTTACCCCAGAACACAGTGGCTAGGAGGAAGTAAGGAAACTACTGCAGGTAAAGAAACTGGACTGGTGAAGTGAGGAAAGAGAGGTGCTGGGGGAGTTGGGCAGGGGAGGATTATAGTTATTATCCTCTAGTTGGAGTTCCTATGCTCACTCTTGTGAACAGAAATTGTGCCAGCACCCAGCATCAGGGTACACTTCAAGCTGTCTTCCTAGTGGGAAGCCTGGCTTTGTGCCAAGTTCTGAAATTCTTGGAGACAGGAGATCATGCTTTCCCCTCCTTCTGTCTCTAGCCATCAGCACAGTACCTGGTACACTCCTTAAAGAAGGGGAGGTTATGAGCACAGCCTGTGGACTGGATCAGTTCACCAACTAGAACAAAGTGACAGTGATTAACCCCATGCCTGAGGCCTCATTCCAGCCTTTCTCCCACCACTTGAGCTAGCTGTCCATAGCCCACTGAGTCACACTAGTAACGGTAGCTGCAGCAGCCACAGCTGCCCCTCATGAATGCCAGTGGCCATCTATCAACGGTCAGGCATTGTGCATAGGTTGTCTTTAATCCATTTTGCAGATGAGAAAACTCTCAGAAAGCTTGTGCCCTGACCAGAGCCTCACTACTAGTCAGAATTTGAACCCAGATCTGTCTGGCTCCAAAACTGTGTTCATTTTGCCACCTTGTGATTTGGTTCTCGTGCCTGAAGACTCAAGGAGCTCAGTGCCCAGCTCTTGGTGGCCCAGGATCCCCAGTCTTTCTTTGCCGCTTCTCCTCCCGTCATTCTTCCTAGTGTCTCCTCCACCCTCTAGCTCCCCTGGGAGCCACAGATAACTGGCATGTTGGGATATACATGCCATTCTTGCTTACGTCTTTTTCTTCATTACGTGGGAGTGAAAAGGGAGGAAAAAAGGGAAAATGCTGGTAAAATAAAATCCATACGAAGATGGAGACTTATAAAAAGGAAGTACCACTTTAACCTAGATCTTCAATATTTGTGACAATGGTCCGAGTTTAGGAGAGTGACGCCGGCTTGGAGGACAGGCAGTCTCGAGACCCAAATTCCCTCACCTGCTGCCCCAGGGAGACTCTGGGGATGACTTGTAGGTGGCACTCTGGTGCACTCCTCCCTACTCTGTAGGAATACATTCCCCAAGAAAGAGACTAGTTTACATAACTACAGACCAGATCTAGGTTAATCTTCAACTATGAGTGGTGGGGACTAAAAGAGCAGGACTCTCTTCCTTATAGATGGTTTAACTTGGAGGGTGCGCCCATCTTGCTTACATGGATCATGGGAGTAATAATGTCCAAACAGAATAGGAATCTGAGGGTCTCTGTTTCATCCAAAGGATTTACTTTCCCTCCTACCGTATCTTCCTGAACGTCAGTCACATTAGGGCAGCCTCATAGCCAGGATCTACCAGCAATTGTCCGCATTTTCTCTCTTCCCTCATCCCTAGTGAAGCTCTAGTTTAGGTTTTGGCCTTTGCAGGTGAGATCTGGGGAAGCAGATCAAGAAGCTAGCAAGGGACATACTTCAAAGTGGCTTTCAATCCCTCATTTACTTGGTTCATGAGGCTGTCCCCTTCTTTCTGAAAATCATTCATATCTTGCCTTCACAACTCTTCTCTGGACCTAAACTCTTCTGTTACTAAACTTAATCTTAGAAACTTCAGAGGAAAGAGGCAAACAAAATGAGTTGTGGAGGACCTACCACAGACAAGAATTCAAGGGAGCCTAGTTGGGAGGTGTGAGCATTGAGATGTTTTTCTAAAGTCGGGGCTTGATTAGTGTTGGAGGAGAGGTTTACGGAAGGAGGGGAGGCTACAGGAAACTTAGCTTGGCTGAAAGAGGAACCTGGGCACATGTTCGGTTTTCCCCTTCATCCAGCCTAGCTTGCATCACAAATCAGTTTCATTCTTAGTTGGTTCTCCGATTGGGGTCAGCTATCCCTAGTTCCTCTTTGCTAGAACCCCCTAGTCAAATAACCAAACCAATTCCATCCACACCCAGCGTTGTATCTCTGAATCAGTGTAGGGAAGGATTGTGGAAGATGAAGGCAGGCAGCTCAGTCTCAATCTGAACTTGCTGGGAGAAGCCAGTGTCTGGCACGGAGGGTTTTAATTCCCCCAATCCTTTCAGGCCTGGGATAAACTTCACTTCTGTGTGCATGGACAGGTGGCACTGGCTTCCACATTCCTAGAGCCAGAGCTGGGCGGCTAAAATTTCACCCTCAGATGGAAAACCTGGAACCCCCCCAACTTAAAAGCCTATACATGTCCTTGGGAGCATATTCCCCACTATATCTCAGAGGGGTGACATGTGTAAAATGGTTAGGCTGTGTCTTTATTACTCTTTCTCTCTCTTCATCTGGGCAAAGCTTCTTAATACTGCTATAGGGTCACCTCCTCCTCAAACCTGAGTGGAGGTAAGTAAGGAAAGGGGGTTGGGAAAGGAGAGTTGCAGGAGGGTTGAGCATCAGCAAGAGCAATGAGTTTGATTGTGTTTTTGTTTTCTTTTTTTGACTGAGGTAAATAAAAAAGCTTTATCCTGCAACATTTGGAGATAAGAGTCTGTGCCCCCGCCATCCCAAGGTCCAGACCCTGTCCCCTTCCTTCACATGAGGCTCTTCCGGTACTGACTGTGCTGAGTGGTCTGTCTGAGGTGGGAGTCCGGGGTCTGTAGGTCCATCTGTCTGTATAGGTCTCTCAGCTCCCTGACCTCCTGCAGCACCCTCTTTGCCTGGCTCCAATTTGAGGACGCCTCTCCCAGCAGCCGCTCTGTCTCCAGCAGCAGCTGCTCTGACTCAGAGGCAGGAGGAGACCGAGGGGGGTCCTTGGCCTTTCGCTTCCCATCTCCTAGTCCCTGAACCTCTGCCAGCAGCTCCTGAGTCTTCTCCAGTTTCCTTGCTACCAGGTCCTGGATCCGGGACAGCTGCCCCGGATGGGGTGGGATGAGGGTTGGGGGCTCCTCGGCCCGCAGTTGGAGGGTGCAGGCTGAGGCAGAGTCCCGCTGAGATAGGATCTCCTCCAAGGAGGCACAGCGGCCTTTCTCTGTGGTGGTCAACTTCTTGGGTGCCTGGGGGGTGTAGGTGGCCCCCTTGTTTGGCTTTTCCCAAGGTCGAGGAAGGCCGCCTGCCCGGTCTGAGGAGGGCTGGATACGGTCTGAGTCTGCTCTCCTCCGACTGCCTGCGAGCTGGGCCACTGACTTGTCCAGGTCGACCCGAAAACTCTCAGCACAAGAGGTTGGTTCCTCAGGGGAAGGGTCTTCCTCCTGGATCAGGTCCAAGGTCAGCATCCCATCTGAGGTAGAGGTTGAAGCCTGGAGAGGAAGAGGGCAGGAAGGAAGGGGTACTGTCATCAGTGGGTGTTTCAGGAGCGACTGTGGGAAAGAGATTCAGGCTGCGCTCGTTTTCCTCCTCAATACGCCTTCCCGATGGGAAGCCCTCCTGCCCGACTGCGCCCTTTGACACTATCTGCTGTTTCCTATTCCTTTGACAGTGATTTGCACTGCTTTCCTTCTTTTATTTTTCTGTGACTAAAAGTAATTTCTCCTACTCGTTAAGTGTTTCCTGGAAAGTGTCGTTTTTCCCGTATCACAGACTGTAAGCATAGCACTGGGTCTGACTCTCATAGGAAGCTCGACACAGCATAGTAACTGCCCTTTTTTGTCTGCATCCTCCAAGCCACACACCTCAACCCCCTCTGCTATTGGGAACTCAGACTCTAGTAAAACTTGTTCTCTTGTTTCTAGGACACTCTAATTTAAAAAAAAGTGATAAGGGTCTTCAGTACCTCAGCTGTATGGACCCATATGTTGTTTCAATCACTGCTTACAGCAGCCCTGCACGGCAGGTGTGATTACCAACTGCCCCACTTTACAGGGGGAATCAGAGACTGCACTGCAAAGCTGGGTTCCCACCAGGTCTGATTCCAGAGCCTAGCCTATGTTCCTTCTACCTGATTGCCTCTCTTCCCAGACTTAGAGAGAAACCAACACTTTGTATGTTATGGGGGTTCACTGATCCTTCCTCCTCTTAATGGAACAGAATGCTGTTAGCTGTGAGGACAGCTGGCCACCAGACAGTAGCTTATATTGCTTTTGCCACTTTCCTGCAGGTATATAGCATTTTCCCCAAAGAATGATGAATTTGTTGAGGGCAAAGACTTTTGAACTCATAGTAGGTGCTGAACAAATATTTTTGAACCAGAGGAATCAGGCAGGGGGGTGGGGTAGAGGGATTTCCCAGCCTCCGACCTTGGTGTCACAAACGCCTCTGGTGGCTCTGTGAGATAGTCCTAAGATGAACTGACATGGAATTGGCCCTTCAGCTATTTTTACTCTCTCATAGTCTTACATACCACGGCCATTAGGTGTCCTCGAGTTGGCGGGCGGCGGGAGTGTTGGATTTTTGCCCTGTCTCGAGTGGGGTGGGCGAGATAGCTGTCCTCTTCAACGGTGACCTGAAGAGAAGCATTGTGAGTCGATGACTGCTCTTCAGAGACTCCGTCCCAACCCCGCATCCCCTGAGGCCTAAACATGCCTGGACTTGGAAATAAACCTACCCATGAACTGCTTCTGAGCAAATCCAAGGGCAAGGTTTACTGGACAGGAAGGGGCTCCTCAAGGTAACCCAAGGCTGGCCCAGGCATCATAGAGTGGGTAAAGAGGAATTAGCAGAAAAGACTTAAGAAGGTAGAAAGAGGAAAAGGTTTTTCAAAAGGGAGCTGGAGAGGAAGCAAGTCAACGGGGCTACACCATAACCTCCCCTCTTCAGGAAGCCACAGCGGCTCCCTCTGCCCCAGTGTCCCTCTCCCCACCATGAGCCCCTGACCTCATCCAAGATGCGGTTCTTGGCCCGGGTGATAGCAGAGTTGAGGGCATTGATCCATAATTCCTTCTCTTCTGGACTCACTGCCAGGAAGATCAGGTTGGGTGCCTATGAGGGGAAGATTCTTGTTTCAGTCAGGGCTTTAGAGCTGGTGTCTCACCCTGACAGTGAAGAAATGAGAAATTATAATCTTACTCTCTTAGACTAGCTCCTGGAAGGAGAGAGACTCTGCTTCCAGAGTCATCTACAACTTAAAGAATCCAGCCTCTATTCCTGCAAAGTGCCACAGCTTGGAGGTTGTTTTAGAAATGGACAACGAAAAGCTAAGAAGGGTACAGGACATTAATATAGCACCGGAAATAATTAAAGGAGGTCTGGTAAAGGACAGTACTAAAATAAAGATTTTTAAGTGTTTGAAGAAACACAATGTGATAGGAATGGATTCCTTTAGCCAAGAGAAATTAGGTTCTGAAATTCAACCACCTATTGGGGTACAGGAAAAAGGGATTTTCCCCAAGAGATGTACATGTGCACTGGGGGGTGGGGGGGGAGGAGAGAAAGAGAATGACCTCTGTTTAAAGGCTGGCTTGCCTGGAGGGGAGGATGTGGCCATAATATTCTCGGGTTAAATAATAAAAGCTGGCAGGAGAGCAGTAATCCAGGGCCTCTGAACCAAGAGGGCTGAGGGAGAATCCTGGAGGGGGAAGGTGTTCTCCCGCCCCCCCCACCCCCCGCCC